AATTGTTTAGGTATTTTCCACTCAGCAATGTTGTAATATTTTGTAAATATCAAAGATGTTTTGCACTATTTTATGTGAAAAATTGTTTTTTAGTTTATGTTTAAAAATACATGAAATACGATTAATTTAAAGAGTATTCATCACTTGACTTCTCTGCAGGGGCATGGGTACGTGTAAGAAACCAAATCAGTCGGACTAAAATCAACAAGTTGATAGTTTAGATCCTGAAGCAATCGGACTAAAATCACTCTTTCATGCCCCATTGGTTAAAGTGACAACAAGAAGTAGCAATTCACCAAAATGGTGTTGATACTTAAGGTTTCGAAGGCTCATGAACTAAAAATGATATGGCTCGTGAACTAAAAATGATGAGGATATACATGCTTAAATGAATATAATGAGGTTAAGGGCCTGTTCGGTACAACTAAAATCCAATTAAAATTGAAAATATGGCTGTTATTGGGTCCCACTCGTCTAATAAAAGTCAACAATAACGGCTAGTTTTTCAATTTTAATCCAATTTTAATCTCTACCAAACATGCCCTAATATTGGAATAAAAGTGAATGAATATAATACTTTTTATAACACTTAAAATTTTAATGGGAATGAACTTAAAGTAAGATAGATATATAAAAATTGTGGATGAAAATAACGGTATCTTATGATAATCGATAACTTAAACCACTAATAGACATGCTTTTGCTTATTAAGTCTCTGTTTGGGCACCATTATTTCACATTTTAACGAGAACAATAGTAATTTTTTGAAGAATGTGCGATTAGAAAATAAGATTTTTTTTAAGATTTATGTATAATATTATTTTATTGAAAAATGTGTGATTAATAAAAAGAGAAAGAATAATAATAGTTTAAATTTAGCCCCTGTTTGACATCCATTCTATTTTTTTCTTTTTCTTCATTTTAACCACACATTCATTAATAAAATAATATTACACATAAATCTAAAAATTTTCTTTATTTTTTAACCACATATTCTTCCATCAATTACTATTCCAAAATTTAGGGTGTGTTTGTCTTCCATTAATGAGAGAAAAATAGAGTAATGAATAGTATTTTTTTGAAGAATGTGTGGTTGAAAATTAAAGTAACTTTATTGATTTGTGTGTAGAATATTTTATTGTGTGAATGTGTGGTGGAGAATCTTACTGTAACAAATAATTTTTTGAAATAATGATAGACGAACATGACCTATTCTTTCCCAAAAATGGGTGTCAAATACAAGCTTAATGGGACCAAACAGAGCTAAATCCCATGTGGCGCCCACATGGTTCATCAATTCCTTGACAATTGGCATGCACATAAATGGACACCCATTTATAGCCTATCTTTTTGTTTGTATTCAAGAATCTACCTACGCGCTCCCCACCTTCTCCCTTTAATTTGAATTGAAATTTTTATTTTTCTTCCAAATTGCTTAAAACTTGCCGATCTCCATTTCTTGAAGAAAAATTGAAACAAAGACTTCCTATTATTTTGGGTCTTCATATACTCAAACTCGTGTATGCAAATAGTTATCGACTTTACTGGATTATTTTTAGAGGCGAAACTAACCACACCCTTTTTAGGGTTTTCTTTTTTCTTGTTGATTTCTGGTTGTTCCCGATTAATTTCAGGTAGGCGTGCAATTTGTCATTTTGTTTGATTTTCGTACTTGGTGATTTAGGGTATTTGTTTTACTACTGACTTGGAACAGAGGGAGTTGATTTCGAATTATTTTTATGGAATATTTTAGATCTGCGGTGCACGGAAAATTTACCCTTTTTGTTATTTTCTTTTTGTGAGCCTGATCGACCGATTAACTGTTAGGCGCTTCCAAATCCACGCAAAAGGAAAAAAAGGATTACCATCGTAGTGATACCCAAAGTTGTGTTGAATATCCAAATGCTTTACAGGGATACTTAGGATGATTTTAGATCGTCCATTAATTTGATGATGTGCTTCTTTGTTATATAATCTCTTTTTGGGAATAACTATAGTCATGTAATTATCCAGTTGCTGGAAAAGAACTCCTGTATCTTGACTACTTCAAACATTTTAATGTTGGTAGGGATTTTTTTTTATGTGAGGGGCTTAGCAGTCCATGGGTTGGAAGAATCATAACCTTATTTGGTTAGGTTGCATTAGAGAATCTTATTAATACTTATAAATGGGAGTTCTTGTTACAGAAAATGCTTTTTTTCTTTTTAAATGCTATGTTCTTAATCATAAACCTACGTTTGGGATACTTACACTTGATTGGTTGCTTGTGTGCATACGGACATCTTAAAATTTGTTATCTTGTTACTTTATTGAATCAGAACTGCCTTGCACACTTAATTCACGTGCTGAGAATATCGGAGGTTGTTACATTTTATTACCTTTTTTTTTATTTGGAAAGTACTGATAATGACTCCAGTAAAAAAGATAGCTAAATTGAGCAATTTTTCCCAGAGTTGCAAGTTATGCGAGTTTTTGGAGAATGTTGTTTAGTTTTGGGTTCATCATAGCTGCCTGCCTGCCAGGTGCAGAGTTTTAAGTTGGAACTGGGATATTAATTGACATGTATGCTCAATGAGTACGTGTGGTTTAGAACATCGGAAAAGGTGGAAGGGCTTTTTGGGGATCACAAATTACTACGAAATGGATACCTGAACTACAGCTTGAAAGATCGATATACCATTTTCAATTTCTGGACTTGTGGATAATTTTGAATCTCGACTTTTCAACCGGTTCACGACTATTCTGAGGTTATATTTTGAACGCCTTCTGATATTTGACTCTTCATGCTACTAGATTTTAAGATTTCCAAGTCTGTAGATAATTGTTTTTGCTTGGTGGAGGGGATATTTATTGTTCATTGTTTGTTGATCTATATCCAACTTTAGTACTCTTAGTCCTATTATGGCAGTAGTTGACTCTCGATTGAAGTCCTTGTTCTTCATCTTTCCATTCCTCAGAAAATGAAGTTCTGATTAGTTATTGCTACTCAGTCTCTCAATCTATTAAGAAGGGGATAGGGCTAGGGATGGAGTGGAGGAATTGAATCATGACAAATCTATTGGACGAGTAGTATAAGTGGTAAAAATCCCAGCGAACAGTTCCAAAAGGAATCTGTTTGTTATCAATATCAGACTTGAACTTTGCGCGCTTCTATATTTTTCACACTGAGATTCTTGCATGCTAGTTCAATCATCAACTGTTTATGTTCTAGATGTTGGTTCAATTAAAGCTGTATATTGGCATGTGAAGGTACTGGATATTCAAACTACCAATGGCGACTGCGAATTCCTATTATGATGATTTGCGAAGTAAACCTGAGGTCATTGATCCTCCTCAAAATGAAGACATGGTGGATGTTGGTGAACACATTTGTGACACTGCTCAAAGTGTGCTGAAACCTAATGTAGCCGTCTCAAGTAGTGTCCGTGAGCTATTGGAATGCCCTGTGTGCTTGAACGCGATGTACCCTCCTATTCATCAGGTACTACTGTCTAGACTTTGACATTACTCATACTATATATGTGTGTGTATATGTGTGAAAATTTTGCTGAAGAATTTTATTATTATTATTTTATTTTTTTTGGAAAGGGGGTGGCGGGTTAGTTTGTGAAAAGCCCTTTAGCTATATGGTGTTCTGTCAATTTGTCCCTATAATTTAACTACCCCTCTTTTTCTTAATTTTACTTGGTCTGACTACAATGACTTTGACCTCCATAGTTTCATTAACCCCAAACTTTTGCGATTTTTTGATAAATTCAAAGATCTCTGAAATACAAGTCATTAGAATTTTTTTTAGCACACAATAAGTTGCTAACTAAATGCTCTTTTCTCTAATTTTGCCTAAGGAAAAATATTTTTTTGCTCAGTGAGCTTGTTTGTTAAGATTGAACATTAACAACACAAGCCATCCAGTGGTATTCTTTATTGTTGACCATTAACAAGACAACTATAATCTAGTCATGGTCCGATTTCATTAGTCTTAATTTCTGTAACCACTAAGGTGATCTTTATCATTCATGACTTAGTTAAAGAATGTAAAAATAGTTGTTTGTACTGGTATCCATTCCAAATAAACATATTAACTTTTGCTGGTTACCTCTCATGCATAATTTTGAAATAAGGTTAGTGTGTGCATTTGGTGGCTACTACCTCTATTGTTGCTTTTATTTCTTTTTTGCTTTATTGCTGACATATTTCCTCCTCTATTCGATGCTGCAGTGTTTGAATGGACACACATTGTGTTCTGGCTGCAAACCTAAGGTGCATAACCGATGCCCATCTTGCAGGCATGAACTTGGAAATATCAGATGCCTTGCACTGGAGAAAGTAGCTGCATCCCTTGAGCTCCCCTGTAAATATCAAAGTTTCGGGTGTATGGGCATCTATCCTTACTACAGCAAGCTTAAACATGAATCCCAGTGTGTTTTTAGACCTTACAATTGTCCCTATGCTGGTTCGGAGTGCTTGGTAATTGGTGATATTCCTTATCTTGTGGACCACTTGAAAGATGATCACAAGGTTGATATGCACAATGGCAGTACTTTCAACCATCGCTATGTCAAATCAAATCCGCATGAGGTGGAGAATGCCACATGGATGCTTACGGTAATGAATTTTTCGTCTTGCAGCTCCTATTACTTGGGAGATAATTTCCTGGTGCCACTCTGTCAAGCACTTAATTAATGTTTGGAGATGCTGCTACTTCATCTTGCCCTGATGGGCAGAATAAAGTTGAGATTTCTGAGATACTGGTGTCGAAGGATCGTGACTTTTTTATTTTTTAAGAAATGTGAGAGACAGGTGGTATTCAAGGTGGCTGTTATTGTCTTCAAAGGGTTGGGTACTTCATATCCTGCAGAATGGTAGCCATAGGATGCCCCTTACTGATCAAAATTTACATGTCCTCTTCTTGATCAGAATTGCCTATTGCTGAATTTGAATATATACTTTTGGATCTTCTATTGGCTTGTTTGTTCACTTGTAGGCACCTGACTACAGAAGGAAGAAGGAACCTTTTTAGATTTGTTTTGTTTTGTTTTTTTTCGCTGGGTTGGGATGGGGGATGGGGTAGGGAGGATTGTTAACTGGAGTATACAGTAGTAGTTTAAAGTGTGCCTAAGAGCGGAACACAATAAGTGTAGCTAAGGCCCTTGTTTAGTATTGAAACTAAGTTTGAGTCCTTTTCAACCTGACCATTGATTTTAGCCTATGTTTGGTCCCCATTTTTTCAAAAACTGATTTTTTCATGACTCATTTTGAACCACACATTCTCCCATAAAATAATATTACATGTAAACCGTATTTTTTTCCTTATTTTTTTAACCATGCACTCTCCAAAAACTCAATATTCCAAAACTCATTTTCCCCCAAATTTCCATTAAAATGGAGCCCAAACAAGGGCTTATATTGGATTGTTCTTTTCCATTGTGATTGCTGAAATTGGATTAGTTACAGACGTCCTTCTGAAATTACTCAAGTTCTGCTTAAATTCATGGTAGAAGGAACTAATGTCTGCTGCTATCTACTGAAAATTGCTGCAATTTCTGAATTTTTCTGAAATGAATGTTTAAAGATTTTCCAAAAATATGTATACGTGGCTTCCATGAATCGTTCACCTTCATTTGCACTTAAGCCCTAGTAAACTTTGTAGTTTTCTGTGGTTTGCACATATAGTGGGTGTTTTTGGTGGGGATTAACATTAGATTTTTAGTAGATTGTGATAGAAGTTTTTGAAATGTGTGGTTGAAAAGCTGTGAGACCCATGAAAGATGTGGTTAATATTGATTGTTTGACTTTGATTTCGATTAAAATCTGAATCCGAAACAAACAGGGGAATAATAACTGTGAGTGGAAGCTGGTTTTGGTTTTATGATGTGGTGATTTTTATTACCATTCTTTAACTTATATCCTTTCGTCTAATGTCGCAAGTTCTTTATGACCTATTCAACTTTTGTGTAGTGGTGGTAGGTACATAGCTTAAGCAATGCATTTTTCTTCGGGCAGTAGCTCAGTTGCTTGTTGTTTGCTTGTATTTTAGGTGTTCAGTTGCTTTGGGCAGTACTTCTGTCTGCATTTTGAAGCATTTCAGCTTGGGATGGTGCCAGTGTACATAGCATTTTTGCGATTCATGGGCGATGATAACGAGGCAAAAAACTATAGCTATAGTCTTGAGGTTGGAGGGAATGGGCGGAAGATGATATGGCAAGGTGTGCCTAGAAGCATAAGGGATAGCCACAGAAAGGTTCGTGATAGTTTCGATGGCCTCATCATTCAACGGAACATGGCACTTTTTTTCTCTGGGGGAGACCGAAAAGAATTGAAGCTGAGAATTACTGGTAGGATTTGGAAAGAGCAGTGAGGGATTGTCATAATTTGTATTGATGTTGGGCATATATCTGTTAGTCTTCATGTATTTTAAGTTAGGAGGCAAACACTCTTTGCTTTTCTATGCATGAAATACTTGAGGAAGGAGGCCTAATTAGTGCTATATAATTGGTTGATATGATGCCCTGTTGGCTGTTGGCCTGTTTGTATCTCTGTGCTTGGAATTCTTCCCCAGGGACAAAAATTCCTGCACCAAGTTCAATGAAATTCCTGCTGTCACTAGCCTATTATGAAATTGAATAAGCTTTTGTTTGTAGAGAAAGTAGTATGGTTGGTTTACAGCAAGTTTCGCCGTTGCAGCTTTGTAATCACCTGTGGCGAGGTTGCCAGATGATCTCATTTCAGCAAGCAGCAGCAGGCCCCTACCACGAGGTAAACCCTATAACTTCATAGCAGATTTCGAGACATTTTAAAACTTCCTGAGTCTGAACGCACTGGGATTTGTGAAGAGTAGCGCCTTACGATGTTAACGACCAATTGGATCTTGACGTACCAGAAGGTGCCGTGCTGGAGGAGATCGCAGCAAAAGAACAGAAAATGCAAACCTTTAATTTTAGGCCATCCACAGTTCCTGGACCTGAAATAATATGATCATTGCCCAGTCCAATATACAGAAGATACCTTCGCAAAATAAAAAAATAAAAATTTCTTGAGGAAAGTAAACTGAAAGAAAATTTGATACAAAATACAGAGTAAGACCCTTCTGACCCTTCAATATTGCATTGTGACAGTGTTGCCAATTTCAGCAAGCTTGCGATCTGCGAAATTAAAATTGTGTTTGCCTGTGATCTTCATAAAAGATGCGAAGAATTAGGAAGATGAAACAGTACATTTCAACTGATAATTTTTTTTGTTCTGAACAACAATTGAAAATGTAGGACTTGAGTCCGTGTCTGTTTTTTTTTTCTACATACTCATTTTTAATCATATAATAAAATATTCTGCCAGTACTTTTTAACAACACTTGTTCCAAAAAAATTACCATTCAAAACAAAGTTTTTCCAAATAAAATAAACACCAAACAGATGTCAAGAAAAATATTGGAATCTATTATCAAAATGCCTAGCAAGCCTGGGAAAATTTGCCTCTATACAACTTTCGATGAATTGATTGCGATCCAACCATGTTGAATGCACTACAAAGCTAACTACTCTAGATTATAATATATTTTTATACTCATAAGTTATTTAATATTTTTCTTGACTTCGTTGCGTAAGTAGCATCTTGGTTGGTAAGGAGTATAAATTTTTTAATTCATAGTATCCATTAGAAATGCACAGAATTCTTTCCGTGATATATTACGTAATTGACAACATTAATATGTAGTATGTCTAATCTTGATGGAATTCATAGTACTTAATGTAGTTTTTCTTCGGTTGGTTTGGGTTGAGCTTGAGTCACCAATTCACGTCTTTGTCTTTGAATTCTGTCGTAAGCTCTACAAGCTAAGTAATCGGGGGACTTGTAGAGTTTAGTTATTGAGATAGTTGAACATGTGAAATCTGAAAATTTCATATATTACGAACTTTGGGTTATTTTAAAGTTTGGAAAGTAGTCATTTGCAATTTTTTAGTTTCTCGTGGACAAATAATATTGAAACACGTTTTTGACCAAGAATAATTTTATGCCGTTGGTGAAAAATATTTGCTAAGTAACAAATACGAGCTTTTGTTAAAACTGTTTGTAATTTTTTTAAAAAATATTCAATTGAATGTTTTGTAGTTTCGAGACTTTATAGGTATCAATTCAATGTAAGATATACATTTGAACTTACTCCTAAATTTTCAATGGTTTTTGGCTTTGGTTCGTCTCATAAAGATCTTTGTCGAGTATAAACATCGTTGGAATAACTGACCCTATTTAGGAGGACCATTCTCAAAAATCATACACGCCCAATTTTCATTTAGCCCCCGTTTGGTACACATTAAAATTCTCATTCTCGTTATTCTACTCATTTTCAACCACACATTTTTCAATAAAATAATATTTTTTATCACATCAATAACTTTTCCTTCTTTTTCAACCACACATTCTCCATCAATTTATTATTCCAGAATACATTCTTCTAAAATA